CTAAATTTTTTTTTTTTCTACAGTTTCTTCACTGTAGTTTATGGTCAAGAAACTTAACTTTATTTTGTTTATTTTTTCTTGCTTTTTCTCACAGTCGAATATGATCTTGGAATTTTGTGTCATGACTTTAGCTACAGTTAGCATTACTTTGATTGTTGTGACACAGGCTTCAGGTATGGGGATCTCAGCTGGGGATTTTTCAGTCATCATATGCAGGGAGTTTTAATTTTACATGTCTTGTCCCTCTTTTCCCGACATTATCCAGGATTTTCCTGTCCCTGTAGTGCGTATTCAGGATTGGGAGGATTTTGATAATTCCTTTTTTCAATTCCTGTACCTCTCCTGTGTACCTCCATTGACCCCCCCCACACACACACACACACTTCCTTTTAGCCCACCTGAATGGGACCTCAGTGTTGTTCTCCATGCTCTTACCTTACCTCTATTTGAACATTTGACTTCTTGTTCTTCATACCATCCACCATTTAAAACTTATTTCCTTCTCTTTGGCTTTAGCTGTCAATGTTCTTGTGTGTATGCCATCAATTCTTCTGACATTTTGTTCCATTGCTCCTGTATCAGGCTTTTCTCCCTAAAATGTCTGCACCCTCGTATGAAGTTGAGGGTGCATTCACCCTATATCTCTTCTTTCCATTTCTCACCTTTATTATCATTCAGACCTCAGTTGCCTACTCTGTCCATTGTTATTTGGACTGCACTTCTTCCTTTCATGGTTCAGATCCTGCCTCTTCATTCCATGAAATTCTTCATCTACTTGTGATCTTTCTCTTTTTACTCTCAGTGGATGAATCTGACAGCTTATCTGTTTAGCATATTTTTCTTTGGATGGAGATGCATTTCAGCCCTTCAAGATGTCCTCCCATTAAATTCATCACCCAACTCTCTCATTGTCTGCTCACTTTTTGTTGTCTGTTGGAGGAGATTGTTTAGGCTGGTATGTGGAAGACCCCCTCATATCTTTGTTGCACATTGTCTTCATCATCTGGCCATTTCTTCCTTACTGGGCTATAGACTGCTTCTGGTTGCTACTTCACACATCTCTGAATGGGTAAGTCTTTTTTGTTTTATCTTACCCTCTTTTTTTACAGAGCTCTCAAGTTTTTTATAGGATCGCATTCCCTGTCAAGTGTTGCCTGCCTGGGTATACTTAACCAAAATCTGCACAGTATAGGGCTGTTTTAGCCTGATGTGGTGCTCAACCATGAGGTGGAGTGTTTCACAAAACCACTCAAATTATCCTCACATTGCTCACTTTCC